TTCTCCCAAGGTTTGAGTACGCGACCCAACTTGCCCTCGTAACATTTTTATTTAACAAAACCATTGGGATCTAATTCGTTCCCTGACATGCCCCGGCCGTCCGCTCCCCGAAAATCAGGTGAACGCTAGCCCGCGGGGCGCGCTTCACACTTTATCCATACGACCCCACGATATAATCTTACCCAGTCATCTTATGCAATTTGTGAGCAGCAGCAGTGCATGAGGCCACGGATGCATAGCCGCAACTGGCTACTAAAGATGGTAAAATACGGAGATCAGGAACATCTCTCTTTTCGGGCCAAGCACCAACTGTAGTCTAACGCCGCGATGTCACCGTCTAATTACGCCTTGGGTGAGTCCCCAATGGAGGTACAAAATAAGAACGCAAATGTACGCAAGTAGAGCGTACAGATTGGGCCGATCAGATTGTGGCTTCAAGAGAGCGAGGGATAATATGCCAAGTGGCTTTCGGGCTGACCAGAGTGGTAGGGCAGAACACTGATCATGGCCGGCGGCTCGATCGATCTCATCACTCGCGCCACTTGTACCGATCGATAGTACACCGTGGGATGAGTAGTCAGGACAGCGTGATAAGGGGTCGTTAGGCCTGTCCCTAAAACCAGGGAGATTAGAGATAGCGTTAACATTAGGGTTAGGGTTAAAGCAAGAATTTCGTTAGATTTGGTTTTGTGATTAAGTTCGGGACCCGCGATAATATTTGTATTAGGATTGGCTTAGGGATTAGCGTTTGCACTTGGCATGATGGTGATCATGCCGGATCCGACCAACCTCGATGGTATCACGGATTGCACTTCTCCATGCTAGGTTTGAGGATTGTGTCCGTATGCAATGCTACGCTTCAGCAAACCATGGCTCCTGGCGCCTGGTGCGCGATGTGGTGTCGGTGTATGCGCTATGCTGGGATAGGAGGATTGATACTACATGGTATTTCCTATACCTGTATCAACACTGAGTAATAAGAGGGCATCCTATGTTTGCAATAAGTGGGACAGGTGGAAATATGAGCTAGTCAAGTTTAACAAGGAGAGTACTGTCCCCCCCACGTTCTATTAATTAATACTTACTGGTAGATGACGAAAGCTGTTTTATCCTTGAGCGCTTTATTGACCGCACTTTTTGCTGAACGAGCACACTAAAAATCTATACTTAGTATCTGCAGGCAACTACTCTGCAATGTGCCTGATCATAAATACGAATTACGATCGCTCGTTCTTTGAATAGAAAAGTCGATAACGACACCTCGAAGTAGCGGTAGAGTTACATTCCACGTGAGTTTCGGATCGTTGCAGGGCCACTTACGCTCACCCTTTCGCTACCTGGTGTGTCCAATAAGGGCCATAGCTACATAGGAGTTGGGATGGGCATGGATCATTAAAGTCCTAGTCTACGTGGACCACGACATCGCTGGTCCTTTCTAACGACAGAACAGGTTGCACAGGAAGGTACAACTAGTGAAGAGACACAATCCAACTACTATATACTGATAAAGTCTGACATATAAAACTGCTACTGAGACCGATCGCTGAGTATAAGACAGCCTTATGTAACCATAATTGAGGGCTGGACATCAGTTCTGGTCAGCGTTGATGGTTGTCTCCTTCAGTTGGCCATTCGCCGCTGCTCGCCGTCTCCAGCTATCTACACGCGTACAG